ATTTCGTGTTTTTAAGAACGTTGTTGCGAATGCACTTTTGGGCATGTTTTTTTACATGTACGTTTGTGCATGTCCATTTGAGCGAGTGTGTTTGTGCATGTTTGTTGATTTGTATTATTGTCCTATGATTGTAGTTTGTGTTTTCATGAATCTTTTCGCAAATGCACATTTGCGTGAGTACTTTAGTGCATGATTTTTTTACTTTTACTTATGTGCGTATCTTTTGTAGCGAGTGTTTTTGTGCACTTTTCTTGATGCGCATTCGTGTCCTCGAACTGTAGCGGATATTTTCACGATCGCTTTTGAAATCCAATTTTGACCATGTTCGAGTCCGAATTAGGAAATTTGACATTAGACAGGAGTTGTAGCCAGCTGAAATAGCTTTCTAATGCCGCCGGAACCAGTTGATTTGGAGTTCGGATGAGAAAGTTATGCTCGACTTTGTGGACACTACTGAAGATGTTGAGGGATCCTCTCTTCTAATTTCATTTTATTTTCCTAATTGCAACTCTTTTCTTACTCTTTGATCATTTTTGCTTCATGGACACCTCATTATCAATTTGTACCTATAGAATACTAAATCCACCAATTAAAACATAAATATAAATTAATCCATAAAAAAATCCACGTAAACGTAAACGTTGAGTGTTATTTCTACACTCCACTGTATCTTTTGAATCTAGTGTTCTTGTTGTTGTTTGGTTATGCGTACTATAGTCCTAGTGTTGTATTTCGTGTTTTTAAGAACGTTGTTGCGAATGCAATTTTGCGCATGTTTTTTTACATGTACTTTTGTGCATGTCCATTTGAGCGAGTGTGTTTGTGCATGTTTGTTGATTTGTATTAATGTCCTAGGGTTGTAGCTTGTGTTTTCATGAACCTTTATGCGGATGCACTTTTGCGTGAGTACTTTTGTGCATGATTTTGTACTTTTACTTATGTGCGTATCTTTTGTAGCGAGTGTTTTTGTGCACGTTTCTTGATGCGCATTCGTGTCCTCGAACTGTAGCGGATATTTTCACGATCGCTTTTGGAATCCAATTTTGACCATGTTCGAGTCCGAATTAGGAAATTTGACATTAGACAGGAGTTGTAGCCAGCTGAAATAGCTTTCTAATGCCGCCTGAACCGGTTAATTTGGAGTCCGGATGAGAAATTTATGCTCGACTTCGTGGACACTACCGAAGATGTTGAGGGATCCTCTCTTCTAATTTGATTTTATTTTCCTAATTGCAACTCTTTTCTTACTCTTTGATCATTTTTGCTTCATGGACACCTCATTATAAATTTGTACCTATAGAATACTAAATCCACCAATTAAAACAGAAATATAAATTAATCCATAAAAAAATCCACGTAAACGTAAACGTTGAGTGTTATTTCTACACTCCACTGTATCTTTTGAATCTAGTGTTCTTGCTGTTGTTTGGTTATGCGTACTATAGTCCTAGTGTTGTATTTCGTGTTTTTAAGAACGTTGTTGCGAATGCAATTTTGCGCATATTTTTTTACATGAACTTTTTTGCATGTCCATTTGAGCGAGTGTGTTTGTGCATGTTTGTTGATTTGTATTAATGTCCTAGAATTGTAGCTTGTGTTTTCATGAACCTTTTTGCGAATGCACTTTTGCGTGAGTACTTTTGTGCATGATTTTGTACTTTTACTTATATGCGTATCTTTTGTTTCTTTTGGAATCAAATTTTGACCATGTTCGAGTCCGAATTTGGAAATTTGACATTAGACAGGAATTGTAGCCAGCTGAAACAACTTTCTAATGCCGCCGGAACCAGTTGATTTGGAGTTCGGATGAGTAAGTTATGCTCGACTTCGTGGACACTACCGAAGATGTTGAGGGATCCTCTCTTCTAATTTGATTTTATTTTCCTAATTGCAACTCTTTTCTTACTCTTTGATCATTTTTGCTTCATGGACACCTCATTATCAATTTGTAGCTATAGAATACTAAATCCACCAATTAAGACAGAAATATGAATTAATCCATAAAAAAATCCACGTAAACGTAAACGTTGAGTGTTATTTCTACACTCCACTGTATCTTTTGAATCTAGTGTTGTAACAGCCCGCATTTTCATACGCATTTATATATGATTATATTGAACATATGGTAACTACGAATATACGTGCATTTCATGAATCGAGTAGCAATTTATACGTTATCTATGTGTTTATGTGATTTAGATACATTATAGTATTTTTAGAAGTAGACATTATTATTAATTGAGTAGTCGATTCTAATTATGTGATGTAATGAATTATGCGCTTATAGTTAATTCATCCAATATATGATTAGCAATTATCTGATTAAGTGCTTCATAAGTGTCTATGTGAATTATAATGTTTATTAGATGTTATAATGTGGTTGCTTGTTCAAATGTTTATAATAATTATGATTATATGATTAAAGGAATTATGTCCATGAATTTTAATGATGTGCTTTAATTGATAATTAATCTATTAGGATAATATGAGATTTAATAAGTTGTGACATGATAACTAATTTCTATTTGGCCTCATATTGAATTTATGTGAATTATATGGGTAAATGCTAATAATTAATAGTTATGTGACCGTATGTTTTGTGTGTGTGAATTATTCCCTAAATGTATTAATTAGAAAGGACTCCCCTCTTCTCTTCTATATTGCTAAGAAGCCCCCAAGGTATGTTCTCCCAAATTGCATGTGTAATCCGAAAGATTTTTGGGGCAAATCTGCAATTTTTGAGAAATTAATTTTGAATGGTTTTCCAAATCTGTTTTTCAGCACTTAGTAAAGGACAATTTCAGTTCCTAAGAAGTTTTGTAAGAAAAAGGATTTTTGGGAATTTCTAAGGGTCATGCATGTATAGATCTAGAGAGTCTAGGGTGAAATATGTAATTTCCGAAAAATCTGCATAAAATAACTTCTAACTGGATTTTTCTGCATTAAACTTCAGATGGATTAAGGGTTGATTTTCATGAAAATTTGAATTAGGAACTTTTAGCTTAATTGCATGTGTGAGTTTTGAAACTTTTGGGGTCAAAACTGTAATTTCCAGAGATTTAGGGGCATTGTGCTGAATACCCGAAATCTTCTAAGCTAATCTGTTTTCTTGATCCTAATTTTGCTAGTAAAGAATTTTGGGATCTAGTAGCTTATGGAAAATATAGGAAATTAAATGAATCTCTACTAGTCTTGTTGGGAATATTGGTTATATGTGGGTAAATATTCATGAATGCATAATTTGATGTGTGATGATGGTTAATTTCTTGTGTGTTATGTGGTTGTTTGTCACTTGATTGATATTTGTGATGTCTTGTGGTGTTTCGAATTACTTGTGGGTTGTTGTGGAATATTGGTATCTTTATGTACCCAAATGGAATTCCAAATACTTCAACCATGCCACTTTTGATATTAAGTAAAATAAATTGGGGAGATTAATGAAATACTTAGAAAGGATGATTTTCGAAAGTTTGAAGGTTAAATTCTTACTATATGAATCATGTGTGCGCATTTTAGAGTATAGTTTACATCTAACATTTTTGGTAGAATCTATGTGGATATATGCGATGCCATGTATTAAAGTTGATGATATGTATCTTGTGTGAAACTTATGTGCATATAAGGACTAGATAAGATCAGTGTTGCATATCGGACAACGCATTCATATCATGCAGCCCAGCGGCGTTCAAAACATTCAAAAAAAAGGTAAGAGAAATTTTTAAAATATTTCAAAATTTAGATTTGTTTTTATGAAAATTAGAATTTTCAACTCGACTCGGTTACTATTTTCCCTAAAAGCTATCATAGTCGTGCTAAAACTCTTACCGGAATTTTTACAAGAAGCATGTTTTCCTATTTATTTACAAAATATTTTGGAATCAAGGCGAACTTTTGAAAAGGTAGGAAGACGTTTTCCTAATTATTGTTAACCCCCTATTCAAGAAAAACTATTTTGTAACTTGGCCTCATCGTCTTTTACGGGGAACTTTTCAAATTTTGAGGACAAAATTTATTTAAGGGGGGAAGATTGTAACAGCCCGAATTTTCATACGCATTTATATATGATTATATTGAACATATGGTAACTACGAATATACGTGCATTTCATGAATCGAGTAGCAATTTATACGTTATCTATGTGTTTATGTGATTTAGATACATTATAGTATTTTTAGAAGTAGACATTATTATTAATTGAGTAGTCGATTCTAATTATGTGATGTAATGAATTATGCGCTTATAGTTAATTCATCTAATATATGATTAGCAATTATCTGATTAAGTGCTTCATAAGTGTCTATGTGAATTATAATGTTTATTAGATGTTATAATGTGGTTGCTTGTTCAAATGTTTATAATAATTATGATTATATGATTAAAGGAATTATGTCCATGAATTTTAATGATGTGCTTTAATTGATAATTAATCTATTAGGATAATATGAGATTTAATAAGTTGTGACATGATAACTAATTTCTATTTGGCCTCATATTGAATTTATGTGAATTATATGGGTAAATGCTAATAATTAATAGTTATGTGACCGTATGTTTTGTGTGTGTGAATTATTCCCTAAATGTATTAATTAGAAAGGACTCCCCTCTTCTCTTCTATATTGCTAAGAAGCCACCAAGGTATGTTCTCCCAAATTGCTAATAGAACCCTAATGTCTTTTATATTACAAATAAGGGCCTCATCTCCCCTATAAATAAACCCCTCCTCTTCACATTTTCTTCACACAAAAACATCAGCCAAAAGGCCCTCTCCTCTCCCTCTCCTCTCCCTCTCCATCGAGCAAAAACAGCCCCAAGAAGAATTCTCTTCTTGCACTTCAAGAAGCTCCCATCAAGCCCATTTCTCTCTCCTTCCTCTCTTCAATTCCTCTCCAAGAGAAACTCCCTCTTCTTCAATTCTGCTAAAAATCTTCAAGAAACAGCCCCTTAACATCCATCAAACTCAGCCCCAAAGCCATCCAAGAGCATCCAAGCCAAACCCGCCGAAAATCCACCGAGCCTTTGGTTTTCTTACTCCTCCATCTTCGATTTCTTGCTCTTGGGTAAGGACCTTGGTCTTTACTGAAATAATAACCTAATTAAAATAACTTATATGTGTTTTAATGAATTTCATGTTTGAGGTTTTAATTTTGAGCTTTAGAAGATAAAGTTCTTGATGAACACTACTTGAATTTCAGTTTCGTAGCTTCTGATTGTATTGCATGTCTCATCGGGTAATTCCTAAGATAAAATTATGAAATTTTATGGTAGTCTAGATCTTTCGGTTAGCTTCATGTGGATATAAATTATGAATAAATTGGATTAGTATTGAGTGAGTTATGAATCGTTTTCTGAATCTGCACAGTTTCGGAGTTATCCACGAATTATGTGTTAAATAGCTTTTTATACTACTCTTATTGAAATGATTTCACCCGAATATGATTATGTACGTATGAAACTAATATTGTACGAAATTTGGTAATTTTTGGATTAAGTGATGAATTATTTGGTATTTTTAAAGTTAGTGGATCTGTTCTGAATTTCTGCTTATGTTACTGCACTAAATTGATTATATCTCTTACATAGATAAGTTGCTTCATAAACTGTTTTAACTCTATAAACTAGACTCAAATATGAACATGTTTTCCAAATTTCATCAGGTTTGGATCTACGGTTTAGGAGATATGAATTTATGAAGTTATAGTGCCTAAACTGCCAGATCTGTTTTGATTAAAGATATAGATATAGATCACTAATGAATTTTCAGGTTTTCAGTCTCGGAGTTTACTGCATGTTTCACAGATGCCCTGTTTTCTTAAAATCACGAAATTTCATGGGTAACTAGATCTTTCTGTTTTCTTTAATTTGATATATTTTAATCATCAATCGGATTTCAGATGATTAAGATATGAATTATTTACTAAACCTGCACAGTTTTTGAGTCAACTGGGGATTTGTTTTTAAAATCGATGTTTTCCTAGTTTGATTTCCTTGATTCCACTTGGAATATATTTATAACCTATAAAACCAGCTTTCTGAAAAGTTTTACAGTGTTTGAACAAAAGGGTGATTTATGGGGTATTTTTAAAGTGGTTGGTTCTGTTTCTGAAAGTGTGACCACACTACTGCACTCTTTTACTCATTTCTCTTAGTCTACTAGTTATTTTGAAAAACTGTTTTAAATGAGTCTTTCAGACTCATACAGGAGTATGGTGTCAAAGTTTCAGAGTTTTTGAAGCTATGGTCTAAGAGAAATGTATTTTTGAAGTTAAAGTGTCAAAACTGTCCGATTTTCCTATGAGTAAACTACTTGAATCAAAAGGTCCTTTGTGACCATGGTTTAAACTCTTGAGGCACAACTTAACATAATAATTGAAAATAGATGAAGTGTTCCATGGGTAATGAGCTACATCTAATAAATATTCTTATACTACTCTATGATTATAACAATAGGTTGTTCTTCGAAATCACTATGTGCTAGTACTTATAATGAATTTGATTTCCGATGATTCTTTGAATTTCATTATCGGTATTTGAATTATGTGTTTACTCTTATGAGGTATAAGTATGTATATGTATAAGTATGTATATGTATAAGTATATTTATATGTATATCGATAGTTTAGACCTATGATGTTATAGGCGTACTCCCTTCGGGTTGAGGAAACTTATAACCCATAGTTATAAAGTAGAGTATATACGTATATGTATATAAATACGTATAAGTGCCTATGTGTATATACGTGTAAAAGTATATGTGTCTTTATTACTAATGTTTGATCACTATGTGCTTACTATAGTCTCGGAAATTACTTCCGAATTATGTGATTTAATTCCTTCGAATTACGTGAATGATATAATTGGAATTAGTATCGTGTTGCTATTAAGATCTTTGACTTTCGTGCATTCATCGAGTCATTAATTGGTATTGCATGGTCTACTATAGAAAAGTCAAAATTGTAACGTTGCTACGGTTGAATAGACACGGGATACGGGGGGCCGGTATCCCAACAACAGTTACTATAGAACAACAGGGTGGTTAGCTCCCACCGAATGACCGGGCTCAGCATATAAACGTCTATTGCCGAGGCTTACGTTAGGGATCCCAACATGTGCATACTTGCATACGAAATATTTTGAAAAAAAAAAAAAATGATTTTAAAAAGAAGTTTAAAAAGGGGTTTTCGTTCAAAAAAAAGGGGAATTTCGTGGAAAGGGATATTTTGTACAAGACAAGTTTCAAAATGAACTAAGAAATGATTTCTAAAGGAAAACGAATCCCCACATGATTTTCTAAGTGAATTTCAAATGGCTTTCAAAGCAAAACCAAATTTTTATTATGTGCTCATATGTGGAGTTATATGTTTAATTATTGGCGATGTGATATTATGTCGTGATTAACGTCGATGAAATAATATAGCATAATATAATTATGACGTAAAAGCCTTAGACAAAAAATAACATAGACAGGGACTTTAGGACTCCCATAGGTCGTGAGTGAAACGATGAGAGAGGCGTGAGTTCGTCAGACTAAGACTAATGTCCTTACTGAGCCAGTGTTTGGGCTCATGCTTTTATGCAAATTATCTTTTCAGGTTCTCCAAGCTATGTAGGAGGCCGGCGGAGAGGAGTTCGAGGAATCACGAGCTTTGGTGCCTAGATCATTTTACTCGTATTTTCTACGCAACGTTTTATCAAAAAACTAATCACATAGTATAATTTTATTTTGTACTCTGATTGGAACCCGGTCTATTAAACGGGGGTATCTTAAATAAAGTTTATTTCCTTCCGCTGTCTTACGAGTGTTTCCTAAACCCCGATAATGTTTTATGTGGATTATTCCGCCACATCGAGATTATTTTCAAAATCCCGTTCATGTTATGGTACACTCTCTATGAAAAATCTTATTTTCCGATTGTGGGTTAGATTTGAAGTAAAGGGAAATGGTTCTAAAATTGTAAAGTGGTTTTTCTCAAAGTTCAAATTTGTTCCAAAAGATTTTAATAAAGTCCGTGTTTTCTAAAATTTCTTTTAAATCATTGAGGGTGCTACAAGTGTTCTTGCTGTTGTTTGGTTATGCGTACTATAGTCCTAGTGTTGTATTTCGTGTTTTTAAGAACGTTGTTGCGAATGCAATTTTGCGCATGTTTTTTTACATGTACTTTTTTGCATGTCCATTTGAGCGAGTGTGTTTGTGCATGTTTGTTGATTTGTATTAATGTCCTAGGATTGTAGCTTGTGTTTTCATGAACCTTTTTGCGAATGCACTTTTGCGTGAGTACTTTTGTGCATGATTTTGTACTTTTACTTATATGCATATCTTTTGTTTCTTTTGGAATCAAATTTTGACCATGTTCGAGTCCGAATTTGGAAATTTGACATTAGACAGGAATTGTAGCCAGCTAAAACAACTTTCTAATGCCGCCGGAACCAGTTGATTTGGAGTCCGGATGAGTAAGTTATGCTCGACTTCGTGGACGCTACCGAAGATGTTGAGGGATCCTCTCTTCTAATTTGATTTTATTTTCCTAATTGCAACTCTTTTCTTACTCTTTGATCATTTTTGCTTCATGGACACCTCATTATCAATTTGTAGCTATAGAATACTAAATCCACCAATTAAGACAGAAATATGAATTAATCCATAAAAAAATCTACGTAAACGTAAACGTTGAGTGTTATTTCTACACTCCACTGTATCTTTTGAATCTAGTGTTCTTGCTGTTGTTTGGTTATGCGTACTATAGTCCTAGTGTTGTATTTCGTGTTTTTAAGAACGTTGTTGCGAATGCAATTTTGCGCATGTTTTTTTACATGTACTTTTGTGCATGTCCATTTGAGCGAGTGTGTTTGTGCATGTTTGTTGATTTGTATTAATGTCCTAGGATTGTAGCTTGTGTTTTCATGAACCTTTTTGCGAATGCACTTTTGCGTGAGTACTTTTGTGCATGATTTTGTACTTTTACTTATGTGCGTATCTTTTGTATCTTTTGGAATCCAATTTTGACCATGTTCGAGTCCGAATTTGGAAATTTGACACTAGACAGGAATTGTAGCCAGCTGAAACAGCTTTCTAATGCCGCCGGAACCAGTTGATTTGGAGTCCGGATGAGAAAGTTATGCTCGACTTCGTGGACACTACCGAAGATGTTGAGGGATCCTCTCTTCTAATTTGATTTTATTTTCCTAATTGCAACTATTTTCTTACTCTTTGATCATTTTTGCTTCATGGACACCTCATTATCAATTTGTACCTATAGAATACTAAATCCACCAATTAAGACAGAAATATGAATTAATCCATAAAAAAATCCACGTAAACGTAAACGTTGAGTGTTATTTCTACACTCCACTGACGGAGGATTCCACCTCCGAGGCTTAGAATAATGCGGCATTGGATGACGCAAACGTAGCAGTTTGGATTTGAAATTACATTCAAATGTTGAATGTATTTATTCAAAAGATCTCATCAGAAATCCAAGCAGATACTGAATACAAATTAATTCATTAGTAAGATAATTAGTAGAGGCGAACTTTAGTTCGTGAGAGTTACCTCGGTAGACAACATTCTAGATCCCTTTACACAGACTGGTCCATGAGAAACATCGAGAGTCGATGGGACTTAGGTAATGAGTAGTTGGCTTTAGGTCAAGTGGGAGATTGTTAGAGTATGTGACCAATAAGCCAACTAAGTGTTGTGTTTTCTCACGCTACTCGTAAATAATCTATTTTAAATTAATGGTAAAATACCTTTTGGCATTCTATATCTCTTATCCCATGCAAGCATCATAGATATACTCCTAACGAGTTACTCTATTACTGTGAGTTGATCTAGTAGAATCGTGAGATAACTCAGCAATGTAATGTAACTGTTAAACCTTGTTCCTAGTCGATGGGTTATGCCAATAATGAGGATACCGGCCTTTCCCTTTTGAGACTAGCACTTAGTGTATGTGTACTGCGTCTCATCAGTCATCGGTGTTGTGACATCGGCATACTTGAGTGGGTGCTCATATTAGATGAGTTCACTGAACTCCCTCGCCTAGAAATCTATAAGTGGTTTCCAATCATCGAGTAATAGATTTCTATGATATAGTTGTGCACCATTAGTCCTTAAGACCCAAACATCACCGTGACTTCACTAGAGGACCGACTGTATCGTGACCTGTCCCTGAGTCCCACCGCGGACCGCTCCAAGGGCCAACGTTCGTGCAGTCCGAAATCTAGTGTGAAGTCTGTGCATTGTAGTAGGGGATTCGAGCGCTTGAGTAGTCATGGATGTCCTGTGTGTTCTGTCGGTTTGTAATCCATGGAATCTCCGGCCGGAGTTGATAGTGGGGTGATTAGGGAAATGTGTTTTTCTAAGTCACACACGAACGGATTATAACACCTAGAACGTTCGCACGGTTATTGAACTTAATAAGAGGTCTTGGTGGACCAATACCTCTAGTTCAATCGGGACATTTGCTGCGAAGGGATCGTACTGTACGTTAACTATATCACAAGGTTCTTGCAGGCACTTCATTTGTATCTAGGGAATCATGATGCGTAGTTGCTAGACGCCAATCTTGATTCGTTGGGCACCGATTTGATCGGCGATTGAGTAAAATGATTTTTACCCTAATCGGGACTCTTGGGTGGAGTTCGTATAAGAACAATGTTTTGTTTGAATCACAGAGAGTTGTGAGCCCACGGCTAGCTTACACCTGAACCATTGAGGGTCACACTTCTCGTGTAACATAGATCCTTGAAAAAAAACAAGCATAGATTAATGTGTTAATCTTTGCATAGTTGGATGTCAATATGATTGAATCTAAGATTCTTAATTGTGGATTACGAGTTAGAATAAACGGAGAGAAAGAGATATGCGGAAATTTAGTGAACTTTCTAAATTGGGAAGTTTCCCGATTTAGCAGGTCCACTAAATTAGAAGTTTCCAATTTTGGAAATTGAAAATTTCAAAGAGGCACTCGTATCGACGAGGATTTTGTGCTCGTCACAAATATAATTTTATTATAATTTTGTGGACGATCGTTTGTAAGAAACGAGGCGGACGAGAAGGTGGGCTTAATGGATCAGTGGGTCAAGCCCAATGACTTAAGCCCATGAAGGTTATGAACCCTAGTATAAATACAACTCATAAGATGAGTTGAGAGAAGAATTAGACAGCCCCAAACCCTAGCCGCATGAAGCACGGCCGTCCTCCGCCTCACGGCTGTAGCCCCGCCGCTGCACCGCCGCACCGCCGTCGCGCCGCCGCTCTGCCGCCGCCGCCGGTTTCTTCTCTTTTCTTCCTCGTCTTTATTCCCGTTGTTTTTCTAACTGTTCTGTATCTAGTGCTGCAGTTAGAGTTGGTCTAGTTGTACGAGGTGAAACCTAATTGGAGAGGAAGAACGCAACTCCACCACCGCCAGCCCCGCACGCGCCGTCGCCGTTGCCACGCGCCGCCGCCGCTGCACCTCATGTGCCGCCGTCGAGATCAGATCGGACCAGCTGCTGTTCGGTCGGTTCGTCGCAGCCTTGGAGTTGTTTAATAGCAGCTTATACGTGTCTTAGTTCATAGAATTCGATTCGTCGAAATCTCACGCTTCAAGAGGTAAAATCGAAAACCCCTGCGAATTAATTCGTAATTGGATTATGTGAATTAATTTGTGAGCATGACAATTATATGAATAATGTATGTTTTCGATTTCATGATGTCGTATGCAAGCATGCTCATCTTTGTTTCTCGTTTTATTTAATTTCGATTAAAATATGAAATATTACCATGTGTATGGCGGAAGTGTTAAGGTACGTTCAATTAATTGATTTATGCATGTGATTGAACATTGAGTTCGATTAAATTTTTGTTTTCCGCTGCGTATACATGCATCGATCCCCAACAGTGGTATCAAAGCCACGGGTAATCGATTAATTGTCAACGTGTTTAATCGCTTTCAAAAGCATGCATAATTTGTTGAATTGTTAAATTTTTGGTATTATCGAAATTGGGTGTTTTAATTTTAATTGAATATTTTGAATATTTTCAGAAATTGTAGAATTTGAAAAATCGAAAATTCTGAATTTTATTTTTCTGAATTTCTACAGCTGACCGGTCCGGTGGGTCAGACCGGGTCTGACCGGTCCGGTCAGCACCGAAACAAAAAAAAAAAAAATATTTTAAATTTCTGAAATTAAAATTAAAACAAATTGATTTTTAATTTTTGAAATTATTTATCAATTAAGCCCAATTAGATAATTGATCCATTAAATTAATTTGAATTCAAGGAATAGTGTTGGATTAATTTATTAATTTAATTGTTAAATTAATTTAATAAATGGAATACAAATGTTATAACAGGGCAAATAATTAATGGGTCTCGTTCTTATTTGATTGATTTATGAATGAAAGAGGTCCGTTAATTATTTTGCATTTAATCGTTTTAATTTATTAATTCATATGATGAATAATTGTAATTGAGTACGATGATGATCGTATGTCTCTCTTAGGATCAATATGCGTTTCCACATTAGAGAACATAGTTGTAGGAATCCCAAACGATCATAACCAATAATTCTGATGAGATAACCATAACTTAATAAAAATCCCTCATTCTTAATTTCTAAGAATAATTATCAAGCTATAAAGGAGAACCGATTTGTCGTTCCTTCTTCTTTCCTTCTACCAACAATTAGATTATGTGTAGCCTCTCATAATAGTGCAGTAAGCCGTGTTAGCGGGGAGTGCTATTATGGGATAAGCTGTAATTTAATTGACATTAGATGGAGATACGGTTGTAGATAAAATTCTATTGGATTAATGT